CTCTCTCTCTCTCTCTCTCTCTCTCTCTCTCTCCCCCCCTCTCTCCCCCCCTTCTCTCTCCCTCCATCCCTCTCTTCTCCCTCCCCTTCTTTTTTTCTTCTCCTCCTCTCCCTTCTCTCACACACTCTCTCTCCCCATCTCCTCTGTATGTTTCTATCTTGCTCTGCTTCTCACTCTCAGGCTCTTCACAGTCTGAGTTAAATCTAGGTCGTATACATAGAGCCTGCTTTTTTTTTTTGTCTGATTTAATCTTGTTCGTTTCACCTTTTCACTGACCAGGAGACATGAGTGAGAGTTTATTTGGGGAGAGGGAGAGAGAGGAAAGGAGCCCACTGTTGCATAGTCAATAACATCCTTTTTATCAATGCAATATACAATAGGGGCGGCTTGGCCCAGAGAACCTATTGAAAATCTCCTCATTATTCGGGTTGGGGGGTTTGTGGGGACAGACAAATAAAACCGTTTATTCTGCTATTAAGAGTGATCGGTTCTACTCATCGCCAAACCATCCCACGCTTCCACTATTTCAGGTTTGAAGGAGAGTAGAAACATTAAGCTCCCATCACACCAGAAAACATCCAAATACACCTCTGCTGGGAATTTAAAGAGAAAACAAGTGTAAAAGAAAAATCCATCTTCATCAATAAAACGTGGATACTTTACATCCACTTTTACCTGAGATGGTGTTGGATTTCAGAATGCTTTGGCTGAGACAAACTTTTACATTATCCCGAGTGGAGCGCCTACTCTTTGCTGCTGCTTTGTCAGAGACACCCAAATGCACTAGAGCCTCTTTGAACACGTTCTCAAAGGTGAGGGGGCTGGGACTGAGACATTGGAGAATATTCAACTAATAGAAATATTCTATTCTCCCAGTACAATCTCTCAAGTAAAAAAAAAAATCCATTGAAAGAAATTTCACAGTGTTGTCTTTGGTTGCAGTAAAGGCACAGGCTCCGCGGGGGTGGGGGTGGGGGTGCCGCGGTAAGTGAACGAAGCTGCCCTTCCTAGGCTCGATGTCTGTCCGCTAGATGGCAGGCAGCTCCAGCTATTCTTCCAGGCAAAGGCGGCAGGGGGAGAGCCGAGCTTCCCCTTGTCCCTCTAACCAATCACAATCACCACCACATTTTTTCTCTCTCTTCCCCACCATCTCTCTCCCTTTCTCCCTCCCCCCCCCCCTCTCTCTCTCTCTCTCTCTCTCTCTCTCTCTCTCTCTCTCCCCCCCTCTCTCCCTTCCCCCCTCCCCTTTTCTATTTTCCTGGGAATCACTCACTTGCGCGCATTGATCCTTCCAGACAACAATTCGAGAACTTACTTTTGTTTTATTAATAATTATTGAAGTGTTGCCGTTTGGCAGAACCTAGGGACCAAAAAAAAAAAAAAAGAAAAGAAAAGAACAGAAAGAAAGAAAAGAAAGAAAGAAAAATAGGGAAAGCAAAAAAAGAAAACCGATTGAAAAGAGTAAAAAAATTTTTTTTTAATTACACACGTTTTAAGAGGAAAAAGTGTAAAGGAAAAGTGGATTTCTGATCGCATTTTGTGGCGGGGAGAATTTCAAGAGTGTGATTTATCGTAATTAAAGCTATAAAACCAAGACAGCTCTTTGGGCAATAAATGGGGCACTCTCCTCATTGCAGCTGAGGAAAAAATAAAATGAGCAAGGGTTAAATTGGAAACCTATTTCTTGGGTCATGCATATATATGGGAGTGGGATCAAAATTCATTTTATTACGCAAATCATTAAAATGGTAGGCTTGTTCACTCTCAATTAAAATATTCTTTTTCCCCTAATGGCACTCTCATCACGCTCATAAAAATCTAATAAATATATATATATATATATAAACTTTTAAGACGGAATCAAAATAATTTCCTTCTAATCCTCCTTTCCCCCTTACGCAGTGCCTTCTCCCCACCCCCACCCCCTCGATTCTGTGTGTGTGTGTGTGTGTGTGTGTGTGTGTGTGTGACCATACACGACCCATACTAATCAGGTCTCAAAGTAAATAGCAGCGCAGGGCGATCTCAATGTAAATTGCGCTTGTCAGAAGAACACCCCCTCCCCCCAATCCCCCGCCCCTCTCTCTCACTTTCTCTCCTCCTCCCTTCCCCATCCCAGTCAGTAGGTAGCAAAGGGGAAAAAAGGGGGGAGGGCGGAGGAGGGAGGGGGGAGGGGATATCCAACCAATGGAGTGAAGGAGGCTTGGCTAACCTTAGCCTCCCATTTTCTCTCCCCCCAATTCAGGGCTCTGACCAGTCAGTCGCCTTTGATTATCAGTTGCCAGCAGCCCTTCTCTTGGCTCCTTGACATGAGCTCCATATAAGGCAGCGATCTCCATAGAAACGTGTCAGTTTCAATAGTAGTGTCAAAGTTCACTATATACAGACATTCGCGCAGATCCCCCTTTCGGAAACATTGCTCTGCTAGTCCTCCCGTTTAAACGCATTCAATTTTTGGGTCTCTCTCTCTCTCTCTCTCTCTGCTCTCTCTCTCTCTCTCTCTCTCTCTCTCTCTCTCTCTCTCTCTCTCTCTCTCTCTCTCTCTCTCTCTCCCCCCCTCTCTCTCTCTCTCTCTCTCTCTCTCTCTCTCTCTCTCTCTCTCTCTCTCTCTCTCCCTCTCTCCCTCTCTCTCTCTGACTCTCTTTCTCCCCTTTCATCTCTTCTCTCTCCCCACTCTCCTCCCTGTCTCTCCCCTTTCTCCTTTCTTGCATATTCTATTAGTTTTTTTCTTATCCTTCTTCTCTCTTTTTCTCCTTTTTTCCCTCCTCCTAGTCTCTTTTACTCCATTCTGGTTGGAAGAGAGAGGGTGAAACTTTAAAAAAAAAAAAAAGGAGACTCTCCCTTCGTAATCTTATTGTTATTATTATATAAATATATATACATATATATCTATTTAGAGGGAGGGTGTTGGTTGCCGGCTGAAGAGGACTTACTTAAAATACTAAAAAAAGAACATTTTTGGGCGATCTCCAGTGTTTTTTAATCAGCTCTGTGTGTTATAGCAGAAGAAACAGAAAGAAGAAGCAAGAAAGAGGAAAAGAAGAGGATTATTTATTCGACCTACTTTGGATGTCTTTTTTTTTGTAAATTCTTATTCCTCTTATTTTAATTTTTTTTTTAACTTCGCTGTGAAGTCGTCTACGGCGTGAATTTATCCTGTTTTTCTTCTTCTTCCATTACCTCCCCCCCACCCCCCAAAAAAGGACAGAATCACCAGCACCGCCACCACAACAAAAAAAGAGCAAACTGTGTAATCTTCATCTCCTGAATCCCGCTTTCCAGGACTGGTTTCCTGAATGGCTGGCTGCGTTTTACCCTGGACCTGGCCCCCGGACACTTTCAAGCCTTGATCATCCTAAGGCTTTTCCTCTCTTCGATCCTTCTGCTCTTCAGTTTACGCACCTCCAGAGCCCGGAGCACCCGCCCCGGCAGCAGCGGCGGCGGCGGCGGCGGCTGCACCAGCGGCGGCAGCTACAGCAGCACCACCGGCCCCAGCCTGGGCAGCGGCGGCGGCGGCAGCGGCGGCGGCAGCGGCAGCAGCAGCAGCGGCGGCGGCGGCGGCGGCGGCGGCGGCGGCAGCGGCAGCCCCGACCTCCTCCTCCTCCACCACCACCACCTCCTCCTCCTCCTCCTCCTCCTCCTTCCCCTGCTTCCTCTATGTCTGCACATCCTTTACACTCCTAGCACTCGGCCGGTGGGGTGTGTCTGTGTGTCTGTGTGTCTGTCTGTCTGTCTGTGTGTGTGAGAGAGGGAGAGAGTGTGTATGTGTGTATGTGAGTGCGTGTGTGTTGTGTCCGATGTTCGTCTCCCCCCCCCTTGTAGCTCTGAATGCCTCTCCCTATAGCCTTATTTGCCGTTTCTGAATTTTCAACTTGAAGAAGAAGAAAAAAAAGCCAAGGGGGTGGGGGAGGGGGGAAGGAGAAATCAACCCCCAAAACGAGAACCGAAGAGGGGGAAGGGGGAGACAGAGAGGAGGGGAAAGACGGGGGAGGGGGGGCTGCAAAGAGAGAGAGAGAAAGAAAGAAAGAAAACGGCAGGAACAACAAACCGCACCAGGGCAGCAGCGGCAGCGGCACCCGGAGCCGCCGAGGCAGCAGCCGCCGCCGCAGCAGCAGCATCGCCCAGGTCCCTCGCTCCGGCTCCTCTCCCCCAAACCCGAGCTACCCACCTCCCCCTCCCCCTTCCCCCTTCCCCCTCCCCCTCCCCTTCCCCTCCCTCCTCTCTCTCCCCGGCAGCCCTCTGCGAGAAGCTCCGCTCCCCCAGCACTTTCTGGGCCCTGAGATATGGCAATGGTAGTTAGCAGCTGGCGAGATCCGCAGGAAGACGTGGCCGGGGGGGAACCCAGGCGGCCCCAACCCCGCAGCCCAGCCCGCCCGGGAACAGCAGCAGCAGGCGGGTTCGGCGGCCCCGCACACCCCCCAGACCCCGAGCCAGCCGGGACCTCCGTCCACCCCAGGCACGGCGGGGGACAAGGGGCAAGGCCAGCCCGGCTCGGGCCAAAGCCAGCAACACATTGAGTGTGTGGTGTGCGGGGACAAATCGAGCGGGAAACACTACGGCCAATTCACCTGCGAAGGCTGCAAAAGTTTCTTCAAGAGAAGCGTCCGCAGGAACTTAACTTACACATGCCGTGCCAACAGGAACTGTCCCATAGACCAGCATCACCGCAATCAGTGCCAATATTGCCGCCTCAAGAAGTGTCTCAAAGTGGGCATGAGGCGGGAAGGTGAATATTTCTTCTCTTTTACTTCTAGCTTTGCTGTGTTTTTCTTTTGCTTTCTCTTGTTTTTGCTTCCCCTTCATTCGAAAATACCACCTTATCCCCCAACTCTAACCCTCCCCCTTTCTCCTAGCCATCTCCCCCAGCTTTACACCCCAGGCTTCGCTTCTGCTGACACCCCCTCTCTCTACCGACCCCCGGTCTTCACCCCCCCCCCGCCGCGAAAATCCTTTCCTGTACACCCCTCCTTCTACTTATCCTGATGAGGATTTTTTTTTTATGATGAGGATTAGAAGAAAAAAAACCCTCACTTTCTTAGTTCTGCTGTGTCTTTCCCCCCACGCGTGTGTGTGGCCGCTTTAGTATCTGTTGGCATGATGGGGGGGGGCAATGTGGCGTTTTGTTTTGTTTTGGTTTTTTGGTTGTTTTTTTTTTTTTGCAAAGCTGTATTTTCTCCATTCCCCCTTTAAAACCTTTATTAAATAGGAGAGGGTAGGAAGGTGGGAAGGGGGACACTTTACAGTAGATTCATTGCTGTCATCATCTTTTCTGAAGCCTGGCTTGGAGAAAGAGGATCGAGATTTATTGCACTTGTAGGTCTAACGGGGGGGGGAGAAAGGGGGAAGGAAATCTGCTCGCATTTAATGGTTCCCTCTCCTATCCAACGTGCTGCAGTGTGCTTCTTTCTCTCCAGATCTGTGGCCTTGTTTTCACTCCTACTTTGAAAGGAAAGTTTGTGACTGATCCCTGCTTTTATAGTTGTGTCATTTTTTAAAAAGCATGTTACTTATTTTATTTTTCCACCAAACTCTACCCTCTGCTTAAATACTCCATACAAATGACAATTTACAGCGTATTTACCGTTCCTTCTTATTTCACCATAATGCCTAGTCTGCAGCTGGCATGAGCTTCCACACCATTTAAAGCCTGGTTTTGTCAGCACAAGTTTGGATGTTGGGTATGCCTCAATTTCATATGGAAAGATATGCTGCACTCTTTTATAAAGAGATTTAGCAGTTTACAGTTAAAGTTTATCTTCTTACTATCGTTAAAGATGTCTTATAGTCAAATAAGATAACCAGTCAATTTTGCAGAGTGAAAATTACTCTTTTAATTGGTTTTAAAATTATATTTTATATGCCACAAGAAAAGAAATTGAATTCCCTCAGATCTGGAAGAGCTGGCAAATATGACGACTTCATTTCGTAGCTCCAGGGAGCTTTTTGTAGGCATTTGAAGAAGAAGGGAAAAAAAAACTTTGAATTGTGCTCTCATTTAATTGAAAAATAACTGCCAAGTTCAAAACTATACTGAAGTGGGGAAACTATTCTAGTCCCATTAGATTTTAAGGGCTCAAATTGCATTTATTACTTCCACTAAAATTAAGATAAAAGTCAAAGTTAAAGAAACTATGAATTGTTAAATGGTAAAGTAAAATTATAACTATATGTATATATAATAAATACACACAAGCATATCAAAATGCATGTGGGGAGGGGGAGCAACCTCAACTTCACTAAAGTTGCCTTTGTTTACATGACAATTTCAATCGCTGAGACTGTGGAAGTCAAACATACACATACTTTAAAAAAAAAAAACTTTGTTGAGCTTTAGGAACTCAAAGCATGCTTACGTTTTGCATTCAGATGGTTAATGAATCCAGGGTTTTTGCAGTTGCAAGCTAGTACATTCACTGGGCAAAAGCTGTCTGCAGGGTTTTGCAGTGGGACCGCACAGGACAGACATAAATTATATTTCCTACTTTTTTCAATGATGTTTGGCTACTGTAAGTTCGAAAATTTTTTATTTTCATTGAAAATATTCAGTCTTTCTGTTGTTTTTAACAGTAAGAACTTTGTATGATGTGGTGGGTAGAGGGAGACGGAGTGGTACTGGAGACTGACTTCTTAAAAGTTGTAAGTGGTTAGTAAGGGTATGTAACATGTATCTATTTTAAAGACAATTTTGTAGCATTTGAGGGTGATGTGGAAACACTTTATGAGCAAAACACTGATAGTTTGCAAATCAGTGTACTTAGGGCACTTGCCTTAGACCGCAACCATTTCGTCTGTTTTTAACTCTGGTTTGTTGAAGTCTGGAGGGATGAGTGGGGTTTTATTTTCTAAGCATATTTTCTTGGTTATCTTTTCTGGGGTTTGGACAAGTGGTGGTTGAGGTGTGGGGGCAGGACGATGGCTCTTCCTATGAGGTCTTATTCGCGATGAGTCTGTACTGAGTCTGCAAAGAGAAGAGAGCAGAACGATTGCCGCACTTACCAAGATTCTGCAGTTGGATGGATTGATACCTGTCTGGATCTATAGACCCCTGTGTAGCACTGCGTGTTTATGTGTGAGTCTGAAAGTATGTGTGAATGTGGTGTGTGTGTGTGTGTGTGAGTGAGTGTGCGCCTGGGCGTGTGTGTGTCTGCGGGGAGAGGCACTTGCATTGTCTCAGGACCCGCAGCACCGTGTTGAGGAGATGTTTGCAAGCCCCTTGGATGCACATTTCCTCTTCTTTTCTCTTTCTTTTTGTCAGCGGTTCAGCGAGGAAGAATGCCTCCAACCCAACCCAACCCAGGCCAATATGCCCTCACCAATGGGGATCCCCTGAACGGTCACTGCTATCTGTCTGGATACATCTCACTGCTGCTGCGGGCCGAGCCCTACCCTACCTCCCGCTACGGCAGCCAGTGTATGCAGCCCAACAACATCATGGGCATAGAGAACATCTGCGAGCTGGCCGCCCGCCTACTCTTCAGTGCCGTCGAGTGGGCCCGCAACATTCCCTTCTTCCCGGACCTGCAGATCACAGACCAGGTGGCCCTGCTGCGGCTCACATGGAGCGAGCTGTTTGTCCTCAACGCGGCGCAGTGCTCCATGCCCCTCCACGTGGCCCCGCTGCTGGCCGCAGCGGGCCTGCACGCCTCGCCCATGTCCGCCGACCGGGTCGTGGCCTTCATGGATCACATCCGTATATTCCAGGAGCAGGTGGAGAAGCTCAAGGCCCTGCACGTCGACTCTGCGGAGTACAGCTGCCTCAAAGCCATCGTCCTCTTCACATCAGGTGAGGGGTGGAGGAGAGATGGGAGGAGGGAGGGGAAGAAGGGGTGGAGGGAGATGCACAGAGGGAGGGTTGGAGAGGCGGGGGAGTTGCGATGGGGAGAGGGAGCACAAGTGCTTGGTAAGAGCGAGAGCCAGCTTGATGCCCCCCCCCTCCCCCGTCACCTCCTCTTCCTCCCCAACCTCCTCACCCTCACCTCCGGTCCGACAACCAGATTGCTTGAATGGGGGGTTGGGGAGGGGGTCGCTGCTGCCAGGTTTGGAGTGGATCTAGGGGTGGGTGGGCCTCTGCTGCTGCTGCTGCTGCTTTCTCAGTTACTGCCGCAGCTTACTCTCACCAGCCCGATCTGGGCAAGAACAGAGGATGTGATGGCCTGGTTAGGGGGTGAAACAAACCAGGCTGACTATCTCTACCTCTTCTCTGTCAGCGTCTGAGTGAGCTGAGGGAGGAGAAGAAAAGAGGAGGACTTGAGAATGTTGGTTTCTCTTGTATGGTACTTTCACTGGATGAATTTCTTGACTGAGATTGTTTACACACACACGCATAGACACACACAAATTAAAAATAAGAGGATAGAAAGAAAGAGGGAAATCAATCCAAATAAATCATAAACAATATCGCTTTGTTGCTGCCGGATTTCCCCTGATCGGAAATCATTCCGGTGCTTGCAGTTGCAGATGTTATTGGGATCATAAAAAAAAAAAAGGATTCGATATAAACAAGAAAGATAAAAAACAAAACAATACTGTAGAACTCAGAAGGAAAGTAAGATTGCGTCGGCCCAAAGATAAATCTTTTTACTATGCAAACCCCACCAATATTGGAAATTTAACAGATTGCTGGGGAAAGATATCAAATTAAGTGTAGGTGGTGGTAACTTGAATGTTAACAATCCTTCTTATGATAGATGGTTCAAATTAACTTGTAAGAAAGTGAATTAACATGGCTTTGAAGTGTTCTCATTTTAAACTATGTGAATTCTATACCTGTCTTATTATCATATCTTCCAAACAGCAAACATATAAACACCAAAGACAGCAGGTAATAGAGGGAAATGTAAACAAAGCCAGAAAAGAAGTCACATATGTGCATTCAGAGCTCTTTAGAGCTTATGTGGTCCTTTTCCACTTACATATTTAGTAGTGGTAGTATCACTACTATTTGTGTTATTTTTTAATTCTTCCATATAGAGAAAAATAGATTCCTAATAAATCTATCCTACAGTCAGAAGGAACCAAATGAAAACCATTCTCTAGCAAAGATGGCAAAACCTCCCAAGGCCTTGTTGAACAGTAAGCAATTCATAATCTATCAATATTTGTTGCTTTTCATGCTTGAAAAATAGTATTTACATTGTATTAAAATGACACTTAAATTTGCACAATATTGTAATGTAGCAAATGTAGTATTAATATCGATTTGAACAACAGATAATTTATTTAGACAGGAGCACCTAATTTGTATGCAGGGTGGCCAGAGCCATGTACTTTGACTGCCCCCTTTTACTTTCGGTGCAAATGCAGGTCTGCTGGTAGGAGAGGAGTTATTCTTTGCAGGAGGAGAAAGTGCGGACCTTAAAACAAATGGAAGATTTATTGAATAGCCACCTCAATAGTTTGAATGCATTTTATCTTAATAAGTCTTCTTGATGGAAACATGTTTTTCAAAAGTGACAAAGAGACTTGAAAGCATAGATCAGGCTGATTTAACTCTGGAGCATGCCTGTAGACTTACCTACTTTTTACACTCATTCACTGTGGAGGTTCCATCAATAAATAGGCCAATCACAGTGAAGTTGATTTTTTTTAACCCTATATAGTGAGGTCCTAGGAAATAGAAATGTGACACTGGAGTGTAGAATGGTCTACTCAGGGAAGATCTCCCCTCCTTTCTTCTACTCCAAAGGCATTGGTTCTACCCACTTTCCAGCTCCCTTGAATTTTCTGTTCACATGCCCCTTCTCCATGTAGCCTAGAGAACTATGGAGTCTACAGTGAAGTCTCTGTAATTATTAACTCTTTTATTTCAATTTTATATTCCTAAACAGCAGCATTAAATCCTTCTTAGTAAAACAAAACAGAAGTTTCCCAAAGAGCTTGCTTGGATGATAACTTAAAGGCACAAAGGGTGTCTAGTAAGTTAATAATATTATTTTGTTGAGAAAATGAAGGCAGAATATCTGAAAATGGAAATACAGCTGTAAGAAGCAATTCACCCCCTCCCCCATACACATTTCCACTTTTGACTAAACTTGTTTTGATTGCTAGCCAGAAGGGAATTCATGGGAAGCTTTCTCAAAGTCATCCAACTTTTAAGTAAACTTTGAGTGACGGAAAAAAACATTTTTAGACATTGTCCAAAGAAGTTTGCTAAGGCTAAGTATTTAATGCTGGCAGGGGGGTCCCCTGTTGTGGTTTTTACATTTGGGCCCTGGATGGTTTGTTTAATCCTTAATATTCTGGACATCATCCAAGGACTGGGTCATGACCTGAACTTACTTAGAAAAAAAAAACTCTATTAATTCACACACCTAAATATTTCTTCAGATAAATGAGAGCTTTTCTGAAAGCTGTCGTCTAGTTAACATAAATACAATAAATCCATTTTCAGCACAATAATAACTTTGATTTCTAGTTATGGCAGCTGATTACATCTATATTTTCTAAACACTAAACTCTCCTGAATGCACCACATGAAATACATTCTCTACACGACAAAGGCTAAGGCTGTAGAGCCCTGAACAGTAATGGTTATTTATTTACATAATTTCTTTTCCATACAGTGTAGAAGAAATATTGAGCGTCCCCATATTGACACTGCCATATAAAAAGAGAGACACGAATTTTGCACATTATGCCTCCTTTTCTTATCTGAGATATAATTCATGTAGTGTAAATATGTATTGCATTACACTTGCCGCAGCTATCCAAGAGCTGTGGATGCAATAACCTAATCGATCTAAAAGCCTATTTCCTTCTGTTCACCATTGGTGAAACCCTTTTTCCAGTCAGAAAAGGAAAATTAACTTCCAAAGTCCTAACCGGAGTACTGATCAAGCCAAATCCTTCTTTCTTCAGGAGGGATAGGAGTGGATATCTAAATGGCAGCCACAGCTTTCATGAAAAAAGACAGCAAAATCGAAACCTAGCTGAGGGAAGGATGCAGGGTTCAATGCCCAGCCTTTCCGCTTCCTTCAGTCAAGGGTAATAGATGTAGGTTAGCGTCCGGTGACCCTGCACTTTGGTGGGCACTTATCGTAAATATCTGATAAATATTTTACAGACCTTAAGGGGATGACATATGGGTCTTATAAAAAATCTGCTAGGGTATTAGGGGGAACCTTTTCATATCGTATTGTCTGGATTTGAATAGAATCCTGGGGCATAATAGGGAGATAATACATGTATTGCAATACATGTAAATATGAGCCTGCTGGGTGGCAATCACTGTAGTCCTGTTTAGATTCAAGGCCAAGAACAAACCTATGTATTCTTTAGCTAAACAGGGTGCAAGTGTTTTTTGTTTGTTTGTTTGCTTATTTTTTCCCAGTAAATCTACCTTACCCTGGATTTTATTGTTAAAGAATATCACTGTATTAACAATATAGTATGGATTAGCAAAGCAGTCTGGCTTGGGAAATTATATATCTGAATATCTGAGAGCAACCTAGTCTGGATCTCAGGTCAAAGGATTCCTTTCTCAGAAGTTCTTGAATTATAGCTTGTTTTATTTGTGTTTTTTGCTCGAGGCCATGTTTTTGTAGATGAAGGAACTCACAAATCTTTGTATCCAGTTCTTGAAATATAAAGACATAAACTTCAAAAATATAGCCACACCCCGGTTTTGATTTGAATCATTTGTTGTGTCTTTTCGGGGTCATTCTTCTACAGACACAATTTTCCAATGTCCTTTTGGGGCTATTATCATGCATTAAGACATACATAGATCTATACAGATAGAGTATTACTAAAGTCTGGCTTTGATCTCTATTAAACCTTCCCACTTAGTAATGGTTCCTCTATGATCCTTATGTTTTAAAAATATTTATTATTGCTATAAGAAACAACGTGGATATTTGAACTATAAGAGTGATTGTGGCTTCCCTTGAACCCACTTTTCTGTACTAATCAGTCAACATAAAGTAACCTGATGTTCTGCAATATTATTAAAATAAGGACTCTAGTTGATGTGAGATCAGCAGATAAGGTTTGAGATCATATCATTCTTCGAAGTGTTTTCCTCTCTTCTCTTCTTCAATAAGAATCTTCTCTATGTCTGCTACATTTTAGCTGGTGTTTAGGCACTGCAGCCATTCCTAGCTTTGTGTCTGATAGCTGCAGATGTCTCCTTAGCACACGGCCTGGAGTAACTGAGCCATATTCCTCAAGATTATTATACAGCTTACAAAGATGCGACCAATTTTCAATTACTTGATCTAAGATACAGATAGAAGTGTGAGCTTTCGCCTAGGAATTGCTCTTCGAATTCCTTACGTAGGAACCTTAAACCCTATATTGCTGAAGCATTGGACTTGATCTAATTCCCAGCATATCAACAAACGACTGCCTTCCCTCCCCACCCCCCAACCTCCAACCCTCTACGTGTTTATTTGCTACTCAATCAAGGTTTGGGTCTAGGATTTTGGCTGCTGTTGTTTTGGCTTCTATTGGCTCCAAGATCCATTTAGTTCTTTTTCTGACTGAATATTTCGCTAAGGTTCTTTAACCCACCCCCACCCGCCTCAAATCAACCGCTAAAGCAATCATTTTAATGAACTGAATACCCTGAAAGATTCTGCCCTTCAGGCTGAAGACAGGTTGCTGTGTGTAGAAAACATGGCTTCAGTCTTACATTATTTAATCTAAAGGTGAAGGAGGAAAAACAAAGAGAGGGAGAGGTTGATGTCGTGTGTGTGTGTGTGTGTGTGTGTGTGTGTGTGTGTGTGTGTGTGT